AGTGATATTTCAAAAATAAATTAAAGAAAAAACTATTTAATAGGGGGTGAATTTGTAATAAGGCTTTAAAAATTATTATTATTATAAAAAAAAAAAAAAAAAGCGAAAATGCGAGCCTCTGTTTCGATCGCTACGGTCGGCCGCTGCAGAAGGAAACCACCATCGGTTTAACGGATCTAATGAGCCGAATCCACCGTCTTCTCAGGAACCAAGCGTACACAGACCAGAGACTATTTTCCGGTCCAAATTCTCCTGTTCATCTTCTTCTTTGGCGTCGGTGTTTTCAAAGGTTGGATTTGTGGGATGGTCCAATTGTGTTTACGGATGGTGAAATCACGTCCCCATTTTGACCAAGAGCACAACTAACTCAATTATTATCCTCCCAGCTGTTAAGCAAACTGATTTTTGGGGTATTTCTTTTTGTTTCCCTCTTAATGCTTTTCTTCTCTAGTTTCTCCTACGGAATTGATATCAACACCTCATCCCACAAATCTGATGGCAGAACGTTTGTCTCTATAGATGGAAACTTTGAACTGGGGTTCTTCGTAAGTTCTGGAAAGAATCGCTACTTGGGAATTTGATTCAGGAGTATCCCAGGGCAAACTGTTTGTCGGGGTTGCAAACAGGTGCAGCCCGATAAACGACACATCTAGTGTTTTGATAATAAAGAGCATAGGCAATCTGCACTCCTAACTCAAAGAAAGAAGCTCAGAGCCTGTAGTGTTTTTGAGGATAAACTTTTCACTTCATGTATACCTTCATCGCTAGTGATAGAGTTAATCTCTATTTTTCTTAATGCTTCTTCATAAAATTTTAAATTTTTAGTACTTTTTCTTTTGTACCTTTTAAAACATTTATTTACATAATGTCCTTTATATAGGCAGTATGTACATTTTTTAAGATTCATTTTATAATTTTTTGGTATTTTTGTTTTCTTAAAATACCTTTTTTTCTCTTTAGAAAGTTTATTCCTATTTAACTTTTCTTTATTACTTTTTTTAATTCTAAATCTTTTGTTTCTCTTCTTGTAGTTTGAATAACTACATCCTAATTTAATTAGATCACTATTTTTGGACAACATAACTCCTCTTTTATACTTTTTCTTAAATTGTTATAACTGTAGGTTTTTATACACCATTTATTTATTTTGGTTTTAGTAAACCAAATTCTAAGTTTTAATGTATCAATTTTTTTCTTCTACATAGGTTCTATAGGCTTTCACTAGTTTTATTTCCCAAAGTTTAGAGATTTTCCCAAAAAATAATTCTCTTAGACCTTTGGCCATTTCATGATTTGAGGCTTTATAATAATATTTTTGAAATAAACAAATATATTAATCTAATTCACCAAGATTATATAATTCTAGATTTTGTAGGTTTCACACTACTATTCTACCAATTCTGGTTTGTTCCTTTACTTGATTCTCTTCCCATTTTTCTCTTAAAAGTTCTTTTCTTATAGCTAATTTAAACTTAGTTATTATGTCTTGAATTGCTTTGTTTTCATTTATTTCTGCTGAAACAGGATTTCCACTTACAGTAGTATTACTTTCTTTTTCATTTAGACCAACGAACTAGTCATGAACTATTTCTCTAAAAGTGACTTCAATAAATCCAATTGCTTGTAAAGCATTATAGTCTTTGTTGGCTATGGCCATCCAAGTGGCTTGAGCTTAGTTACTAATGATTTTCTTTGGTTCGGTAACACAGTTTAGATCTAGTCAAATGCTATTGGTACTGATAATTTGTTCTTTGACTCTAATTGAGGTTTCAAGTCTAGATTGATTTCCAAATTTCTTTCTATTATATGATATTTCATGTATCTTATTTCTATTCCTTTTGTAACTTTGACTAATGTTAGATTCTACCCCTTATTGTACAAGGAATTCTGTTGGGGTGGTTGTCTCTAATCTCTTTCTTCTTCAACTTTCTCCTTTCTTTTTCTTTAAGTATTCATCTTTATATTTTCTAGTTATTTAGTAGTTATCATAATTTGTTTGCACAGATTATTTAATTCTTCTATATCTTCTTCTTCCAAAAATTTTTGTTCCAATTCTTTCAATTTTTTTTCTTGAATTTTTAACATAAAAAATGTTATTTTCTTTGATTTAGGTTTTTCTGTGAAAATATTTGGGGTTATTTTAAATCCTTCAAATCTATCTATAATATTTCATTTACTATAAACTAATATTATAGTATCTTGTAGATCTTTAAGTTGAGTTTGGATCTCATAGAAATTCCTATCTATATCGCTTTCCAATTGTGGGATTATTCTAATTACACATCTTAAGTTTTCATGACAAAATTTTCAACAAGTACTTTTAATATCTTAAGTATTTCTTCTATTTTGAGTTCTATATCTCTAATTCAGGATATTGAAGTCTTTGAGTCTTTGATAGACCTTATTTCTTCTTATATTTTTTTCAAATCTCTAGAATATTTAACATCATTTATTCTTTCTTTAATAAAATCAAATTCTTAAGAAAGAGATTTTCCCATTTCTTTAATTCTTCTTAAGGTATTTTCATTAATAGTTTCTATTTTTAGAATTTTATTAATGATAAATGTATCTTTTATATTGATTATGTTTTTGCCCAATATATTGAGTAAATACGTGTTAATCTGGTTTATTTATTTATCATTCATGTTAAAAAAAGTATATTAATAGTATTGCTTATTCTTTCACTCTTTATTCTTATTTGGTAGTTGCATGTTCTAACTTTTATTGCCTCTTCAGGACTTACTCTTGAAACTTATTGTTCTAAATTTACTAACTTTCTCTCTTCAAATTGAGCTACTTGCTTAAATTCATTACAATTTCCAACTAATGTATTTCTATAAAATATCCCTTGAGCTGTCATATTTTATTCCAATTATGGTGCCAATTTTTCAAAACTTAAAAGGTTACTCTTTTTTGACTCTAAGTTGACTTTTTTATTAAAATTAACAGAAATTTTATATGTTAAACTATTATGAATATTCTCCAAATTATAGAATATTTAAAAAGAAAACAAACTTTTTAAACTAAAACAAAATTAAACAATAATTAATAAACTAATTATTGAATTAAGCCGTAAGAGCACCAGTAAAAATGACTATGAGGATGATAAGTCTTTATTTGTTAAGAAATGAACTTTAAGTGTACACCCTTCTAGGGTACCCTACCAGATGGAAAAGAAATTGCTTTGAAGAGGCTCGTAAGAAGCCCTAGACAAGGATTAGTTGAGTTTAAGAATGAAGTAGCACTTATAGCCGAACTTCAACAACGGAATCTTGGAAAGCTTCTATGATACTGCATTGAAGATAAAATGCTGATTTACGAATATATGCCTAATAAAAGTTCGGATTCCTGTGAGGCTGTTTAACTAACTTAGTAGGAGTAGTATTAATTCATCACAATTTGTTTTCATCTTTCAATGCAACTCTTTTCAAAAACTCTTGTTGAACACTACATTAATCCGAAGAACATGTTGCCTGATCGATGAAACAAGAAGGAATCTGTTAGATTGATCTAGGCATTTTCACATTATTTGTGGAATTGCTTGAGGGCTAGTCTATCTAGATCAAGGTTCTAGATTGAGGATCATCCATGAAGATTTCAAAACAAGCAATGCTTTGCTTGATAGTGAAATGAAATCCAAAATTTCAGATTTTCGCATGGCTAGAACATTTGGAGAACAGTATGAGGGTAACACACAGGGAATCCCCCAATTCGTGCAGTACAGCGGAGACCCAAATGACAGTAAAAACAGGGGAAAAAACAGAGGAAATTGTAGAAGAAACTGGGCAACATGCAACCTACATACCCAGAATTGGCACATGACAAATCGTCTGGAGCCCATTAGCATGGCCTTCATGCTCACTTAGGAAATCACCTATGTACTTGATAGGAGTTTGAACAATATCTGGAAATATGCTCTGAACATACGTCAAAGAAGAGTACTCATCTTCGTCTCGAATCTGCAGTGAGTTGCACAGGCGATAGTTGTCAAAGACAGCACCGGTGATGTACTCCAGAAGCATGTGCAGATCAGCATCCAACTCCTCGATCTTTTCCTTCAGATCTTTCATCTTCTTCTTACGCTTTTTGCTCAAAGATGCCCGGAGAAGCTTGAGCCGATACGGCGGTTTCAACAGCGATTCTTTCTGAAGATTATTCAGCATTGCCTTCTTCAATCCCAACTCTCTCCAGTACCTGGTCAAAAGTTGCGTGACGAAGTAGTGTACCGTTATCACCATCAACCTCTCAAGCGAGGCATCTTTCGGGGCATCTATCAGGAATCGGACGAACAGGGAGTCGAGTGCCTCTTTAGATTCTTGAATTGCTTGGAGTATCCAATCCATCTAAA